GCAAATCTTCTCTTTAGGGTACCTTGAAAAGAAGTAGCCTCCCATGGTGTAGGCAGCCAGGTGTCAACTACCGGCGCGCTTCCGGCAGTATATAAGACTCAGTCAAAAATAAGCTGTCCTCCTCAACTCTGTCTCCTTCCTTCTCTTCACCTCCTGTTACTAGTATTAGGCCTCTTACAATTTCCTCAACATCTCACTCTGCCATCATTGTCGACGATCCAAGCCATCGACTTCATGCTGGAGTTTTCAACGTCTAAACTATAGGGCCGAATAGGATAAAATGCATAGCTTGCAAGGTTTATGTACGATCGGTGGAAGATTACGCTATTTCTAGAATCTGGTCACGTAAGTATAGACAAGTGTATGTGTACACCTTACTAGTAGCAGAAAATACGTGGCAGCTAAGCCTGTTTGCGCTCGATTGGTAGATGAGAACATAAAGTACGCATATAGAGAGGAGATAAGTAAGCATGAACCTGAACGGGATGGCAGTATTCTTCCTGACGAAAACTGGCATGATATTAAGTCTACTGTAGAAACAGTGGTAAAGATTTAACTATGGCCAAAGGTTAGCAGAGATCATTTGACTTACGCAACCTCATCCAAACTGATTGGTACGAGAACACTGATTCCAGCTGGCTCTGACCACGACTAAGAGCGAAAGCAACTTAAATTTAAATTCGCCAATAATGTTAGCGACGATTGTGAGTATTGGTGGGTGGCGAAAGCTATGGGAATGCAGAAGACATCAGCGTTGGGTAACACCTGGCAACTATTTAGGTTTATTTAGGATATCCGCATGAAGAAAACAATGGTGAATGAAACCAATGCCTAAATGGATGGGACGCTGATTACCTTTCAGGGCAGACGGATAGAACTCCGGGTGGAACACTTTGAAGCCTAGTACAGCTGGTCCACCGCAACGTTCCAATTGCCCAATATCCAGCCTGAACCTGAAACGATGCAAAACAACAGGACGTGACAGTTCTCTACCTGGAATTTTCAAGGATGAAGTGACGGAGTTACTAGGTAGTGAACGGGTATCACAGGTAGTGCCATCAAACTGGCCAGTCTATAAGAATGGCGAGAGGTCTTCCCATGACAACCAGGAGAGCATCATTCTAACTAATATTGTGTCCAAGATCCTAGGGTCCATAGTTATCCAAAGCATAACTGTAGCTGGAGAAAAACGGACAGTTTTCACACCTGGAAGAGGGTGGATAGATTAGATTTTCACCCGCCAGCAGGTCCTGGAACAAACCCATACTTATCGGCCAGCTGCCGACACTTATCATATTGCTTGACCTGGAGGCAGGATTTAACTGTCAATCATGTGTTGTGACAGTGTCTGACTGTAAAGGGAGTAACGAACAAGTATGTAACGCTAATCGAAGCTCTCTACTCGAACTGACGCAGCCGTGTAAGGTCTTATGGAGAGTTGTCATCTGAACTAATCACTTTTACTGTAAATCTGCGATTCCCACTATAACCGTTCATATTTAACTTTGTTACAGACGTACTAATGGACATAACCTTTTGGTATGTCTGACTTAACAAGAATTGATCTACTCCCTGGAGGTCATCTAGTTGACTTCGAGTGCGCAGACAACGTCTTACTGCTAGGTGAAGGCGCTGACAAAATACAGGGTCTTCTGGCGCATTGGGCAGAAATCTGAGTTTGTTTGGCATGCATTTCATACATGTCAAATGTAAGATGATGCTCCAGTACTGGTCTGCAACTACTTCTAGTTTGAGGTTAGAGAGTAAAGTGGTGGGATGCTTCTGCCAGTTCACCTTCTTAGCGAGTTGCATCAGCTGGAACAGGCTGGTTGCTAACGAAATCGCAGCTCGGATACAGAAGGCCCGTTCGGCACTTGCCAATTTGGGTCAACTCTAGTGCCAGCGAGATATCGGAATACCTGTGAAAGGACGAATATATTGCGCCGCAGTCCATTTTGTCCTGTTATACAGTTGTGAGACATGGCTATTGAAAGTAGAAAATATGAAGCAGTTGCAAGTTTTCTGTCACAGGTGTCTTCGTAGCAGCGATCGCCTGTGGTGGAATCACTATGTTCGCAATGTCGAAGTCAGGTGAAAATCATCAGACAAAGAAGAAAAGTAGGTCAATAAAGTTGTGAACCTGAGGTGACTTGAACATATGTTGTTCATGTCAAGTCACCACTTACCTTGACAATGCAGTGCCAGACGTTCGGTTAGGTTGGAAGAAGGCTGTGTGGTGAAACCAAGGAGTCGCATCAGTCCATGAAGTCCGTAACTGTTGGTCTGAGTCGTGTAGGGAGGTGTAAACTACCTGGCTGGTTTCTGTAAGACGATAGGAATCAGAGGTTAAGGATCTTTGGTGATATGGCTAGAGATTGGTCACGTTGGCGCATATGTATCCATTCTTTGACGTCTTCTGAAGCTTGGTTGTTTTGACTAACGTTCCTTTCTTAAGTCTTTCGCCCCCTATACACCTTTGTCTACTCTTCTGATATGGGTCTTTTTCGATCCACTTGTACGTTGTATGTTGCTGTGAAGCGTGGCACTTGAACCGATAGGCTTGTGTTCCCTGTTTTTAAGTTTGTCTGTCTGTTTACCAATAAGTCACGGTCATTGGACGCCAAGTCTGATAATGTTTCTCTTCATATTTGAAGTTCGTGCTCGCCAGAAATAATTGGCTGTCTGAGTACAGTTGTAGCAGGCGACTGTTCAGCTGCGATTTATTCCTGACTTAGCCGTTCCACTTGTGCATTGAAGTCACTAGCTACAACTACTTCTGACTTTAGGTAGGAGGGTAGATTGTAGAACTCATCCTTCATCTCGTTTCGATAGCACGTAATGGGTGCGTAAGGACGCAGTATAAAGAGAAAACGGTGAGTTTTGCCACTCCGTTTAGTTAAACATCACATAGATGACTATCAACTGGACCTCCAGCAGAGTAGTGCACTTTTTATCTTAGCACTTAACGATATACCTACAATTGTAAGGACATGAAACTAGCTCTACAATCTCCGGACACTCCTGAAGTCAATTTCGCAGATTCACTATATTGTCGAGGTAAGGTTAAGTGAATAACCACAAGTAGGTCCCGTATGCGTGTCTCGCAAAACTCAGCTCACATCCGTGGCCCAAAATACAAGAGTTTTGGCTAGCAAAGCTTGTTGGCCCATTTGACGGAGAGTATCGACATTGAAAGCGGCTTCCATAGACCAGGGACACTGTTCCGCGAACACATAGTGATATGAAGAGCTGAAAGAGATTCAAGACGAAGTAGGGATATTGATCGAGAGACTTGAAGAAAGATTAGAACGTAAAGATGTTGAAGGTTGATAATTATCTGAAGTAGGTTGGGTGGTGACAGAGTTGTGGGGGTGCGTGGCACTTCTAGGCTGCTCACAACGTGGAAGGCTAGTTCTTCTTGAGGCACATAAAAGAGAACAGTTACTGTGACCGCAGAACTCAAGGGACATCTGCTTGAGGCCGGTCTCACAAAAGTTAAGCTCGCTTCCAGCCAGCAGTATGAATTCCCCTTTGGAATCCTATTATTGCATAGTACCTTTCACTATGACGGTAACGACTGTTCGCCCTACCAATATTCAGTAGACGTTTCTGGTGTGGTGGGAATTAAAGGAACAAGTGCTCCGCTAGCATAGGTCTTCGAGTTATGACATGCAAGCGGAATCACCGCATCAAGGTAGCAGTTATCAGTCATCTTTGTTTATTGTGTCCATAAGGCAATCTGACTTAGCAACAGAATCATTAACTCAGGAGACAAGTTCGCCATCATAACCGATCCGTTCTAAGACCCCCTCGACTGATAGGGTACACGTTTAGGAGGAATAAACTCAATACGCGTCAAAACGTCAGTGTACCAACTTCCCGACACAAAAGTAGACGAAATTGTATGACAAAAGAGAGCATAAATAGGTGCGGAACTCCGGAGATCAAATCGGCTATGTATCTACATCATTGTGACCAGTTTTGAGCCCCATTAGTCTCTAACTGCTGTTTCTTGTCATCCAGGGATCCCAACCAGTTAGTGTACCTCGTTCAAAACAATAGTCAATGACTTCATATACTAATACCACGTTTTCAGCTGGCCATACCTAACCTTTCAGCCAAACTTTACCTCGCTTAACATCATATGCAGAAATGGGTGGTTGTTCAGAATACAAAACATATCCAAGCCACTTCAGGCAATAAAGGCTCACACACTCATCAAATGACTTGCCTAGCGTTCTGCACCTTACCCCAATATCCTTTGCATGATTATCCGGCAAGTACTGCTGCGAAAGCACTGTAAAAGAGAACGGAGGGGACAACAGAGCAGCACACTTGTCTTTTAATAAACAGTTAGACATCTCGTCATCCGGTCCCAGACATGATGCAAGCTGGCAAATGCTAAACCAGTGTTTTCAATTCTGACTGAGCTCTCGTCAGCAAACAGACCATCCGGGTCAACACATTTTACCACGTCACTTAATATCATTAAACTGGGGTTAGATGTAGACCAGTGCTGAAGCTTTATACTACATTTGACATGTGCAAAATGCATGCCAAATATGCTCAAGGTGTTTAGAAGATTTTGAATTTCGTTAGCATCTTTAACTAACATATTTGCATTGCCTGAGTATTCCAAGCCAGTTTGAAAAGTTATGCCGTACTTAGAAAAGCGACTGCGCTAACGAGATCTTATTGAACTGAGGTCATTTAGATATTTTCCAATCGATGAGTCATAACGTCAGTTAGATTGATTAGCATACTGCATAACTATTCGAAGAGACATACAATGATGAATGAAGTCACTGCAAATCCAGACCAGAAAACAAGTTATGCAGATATTTTCAGGAATGCTAAGCTTCGTTGTAGCGGTGAACATGGTTGGTTGCACTGCTGAGTGTTTTCTAAATCTGAGGCTCTTGACACTTAATTTTGTTTTCACACAAGCACTTCGATGGTAATAAAGTCGGCTATTGTTGAAGAAAAACACTGGATGATATCCGAAAATATCCACTTTTAATTGAGCACACATGCATAACAATATATTAGCAAAATATTATTACAGCATTTATTTGAAATTGAAAAACCATGAAGTGAAATTTTTTTTACCAAAAAAGCGAAGATAGAACAAACAGAGCTGGAAAACGCACGTAGAAAAAACACCATCATTTTGAGTAACACAGACAAGATTTTTCAAATCGTTTGATAGAATGGATAAATTAGCGAACAACGTTGCAAAAGACTGGTTACTTTATAAGATAAATGCAAAATATACATACATATACAAAATCTGACACAACAGTAAAGCCATAGGCAACACACTTGTCATTATTAGTGTCATGACGTGACAAATTTTATTTCCCATTTACCAAAGGAGAGTACAAACAATCGACAAACACAATATTATTGAGTAAGTTACAAAGGGTAAGAAGTAGAGAAACATCTATTATTAACGAAGTAAATATTAATTAAATAGGGATTATCATTTCCTGTAAGTCAATCACAAAAATAAGAAAGACAGACAGAACAAGAAGAAAAGTAAATAAACCCAATGAGGTTACATATACACAATGGTAGATAGCAGGGACAATGAATTGTTGAGAGGAAGAGAGAAAAAAAATTCACACCTAAACCCGTTTTCAAAATGTTGAAATTATGAATGAAATAAATTATCATTGTTCCATATTCATGGCATGGCATGCACAAGTAGGTAAGTGAGGCATTACTTAAATCAAAACTGAACTTTAATAAGTTACGACAGGAGGGAAGAGTATCACAAACATAGTGAAATGGTTCATAAACCGTAAATTAGTTCCTTGTCATCAAGTTGACATGAACCATCTCATGAAAGATAGCAATTATGGCAACAACTGTCAATCTGTTACACAGTTAATATGATTCTATCACAGGTGACCAAGTAACATGCAATGACGTTCTGGTTTTGTTTAATTTTGAATATTCAACAGAATGTGTTGTATTCGTTGACGATATGAACATTAGATTCCCGTCGATAATATCAAAAAGATGAAGTTCAGTCCTAAGTGAATCATCGTTCCGACCACAAACTTGATTTTTAAATGAAGTTGGGTTTCCGAACAAATATGACCAGAAAGATTGTACGGGAGCACAATCCTCTAATTCGCTAGCTTCACCTAGAAGTCTTGAGCGTTGTCCTGAAAATAAATTGAAATAAAGTAGAAATAAAGATACTTAAGAAGTGATTAAGGTTTCGAGAAATAAACAATAAACATTTCGGTAATTAAATCGCCTGTAAACAATAAACCTCTGTTCATTTATTTGTAATCGAATCCTATATTTAATAATTTCCTTACAGTTTCCTGAACAATGAGTGCTGAGATTGTTTTAGTCACCGTAGGCCACACTGCCAAAGAAATCAAATTATAGAGAGTTGACTCGAAAAAGTATGTCAATATTATAGTAAAGTGAACATTAATTATAATGAGGTCAGAGTTTATCTACTAAAAAAAGAAGATACTTCGCAAAGAGCAATGTATAAACAAACCGTGTGTCTTCTGAACAGTTGATGACTGATGCGGATAGTGTTGTTCACTTGGATTTGTAGTATATATAGGGGGTGAACCATCGATAGCAGAATGAGTACTGTAAGTGTTCATTACACCATTCTCACTAGATGAAGTAGGTGGAGCTAATTGGGGTTGTTTTGATAAGGCATAACCAATCTAGAGTAGGACAAAAATAAGATTTGTATCAGAAATAATCAATAAAACAACTTTCTTACAGGATTATCACATTCACTTTACACACTATAATTTGCCTGTTTTTTTTTTTACATAATTCGCGAACTAAGTGTGAAAAAGTAAAATGTAAAAAGATACTGTCTGGAATGAAAAACGATAGTAGACTGTTTCCCATTTGTACGATATCGAAAAGATCAATATTAAAATAAAACAGTGAAGTTGTTATCCTAAGTACACACACGTTCAACTGCGTTGTTGACCAGGTTGGTCTACCTAATCACTTATTTCTATTGTTTAAAAAAAAGCAGACATGCCTTCAAAGATAGACAAGAAAGATGTTCAAATGAGATATATTACCTGAGATAATGAACCGGATACTAGTCGTTGAGGAACCTGTGACATCCATGAATTGAAAGAATTCTGAGAACTGAGAGTATAACTTAGACCAGAATTCAATGAACTTTGGTTTTCGTTTACGGATGGTTGTCCAATAAGAAGGGCTGCAAAACATAAGGCAAATACCATCAGGCAGGTGGAAGGAGAGCCGTTACCGGGGTTAATTCCGTGAGATGAATCCCCAGTACCAGTAGAGTTTGTGTTCAAACGATTTGAATGATTTCCACTCTTTTGTGACTCAGTAGAATTGGATGTACCTGAAGCATTACTGGACTTTGACTTGTTGACAAGCTGTTGCAAAAGACGTAACTGACCCAATAGAGAACGATTTGTACTTTCTAAACCGTCCACACGACGTTTCAAGTCAATATTCTCTTGTGAATAAATACTTACTCTAAAATGAAATATGAAATGTCATTATATTACAAATACTAAGGTTAGTGTGTACAGCATAACTCAATTATGGATGATCAATTAGGTTGAACAAAGCTGACAGGACAGTGAATGTAGGTAGGAAAAATGACACTGAATTATTTACTCAGTGTTATCGTGCGAGTAATACACTCTTAGCTACACACTCTACTGAAAACACACTATGTCCATCTGTTGTGAGATATAACAGACCTATATTTAGTCATATTGCAAAAGAACAATACACCAAGTAAGTTTATTGTTACCATTCTAACTTGACTGTAATTAGACGCAAATTTAGAAGAAAGACTATTTCAACAGACAATTGAAAATAGACTTGGTTTGTTCATTCAACATTTATAGGTACATAACAACCATTGCTGAAAGAATAAATGGATCTTTGTTGAATCGAAGCAAAGTAAACTTATAAATCAGATGATACAGTAGAGAACTTGGATTACGGCTCTTTTGGATTAGTATCACACATCTAAAGACAATTTAATCTATTTATAGCTTCGGGTAGAAAAATACTATTACAGCACTTAAACACTACTTCTGATTGCTTACAT